TTGGGAGACTTCGCAAGACGTGGTATTTCAGCAACTAAAAACTGGCGATTGAGGCATTGTTGCAATCCCTGATCTCAACCGACCATTTATGGCGGAGACAGATGCAAGCGGCACCGGCATCGCAGCCGTCCTTTTGCAAGACACCAAGGGGCAGCTGCGGCCAGGTCATTTATTCGCCGATCACTGAGTGATGCGGAAAGGCACTACACGGTGCAAGAGTGGTAGTGTTTGGCTGTGGTTCGGGACATTGATAAGTTCCGACTGTATTTAAAACATACTTCGTTTGTGGTGCACACTGACCACGCTTCCGTAAGTGGATGTTTACCAAGGAACAGACTTTAGGCAGGGTACATGGATGGGTGCTTTTGTCGCAGGATTTCGATTGCGCCATCAGACATTGGCCAGGAATGACAAACATCGAAGCTGATGCTCTGAGCAGGTTCCTTTTAACAGCCGAAATGCCAACGGAGCCAACCAGACACCGAAACAGAGAAATGGTTTCTTATCGGGTCTCTAGAACCAGATAATTGGTCTGTTTCGAGAAGAATGCCGTGGTCAATGAGACAGAGATTTCCTTCTCCTCAGTTTATTCGAGCTAGCACACGAGTAGAGTAAGGACCGTGAAATGTCCACAAGAACCCGATTTCCCCAGGATCAGATTCTACCGACCAACGAAGCGGAGGCGCGCCGAAAAAAAGACATTGCTCATGACAGCGAAATTAACCAAGATGGATTGCTACTTAAAATAGCAGGGGGAAAAGAAACTTATCTGGATCCCCAAGCAACTCTGCCCGGCAGTACTCTAGCTCTCACATAATCCTCTGAGTGGCCACCTTGAATACTTCAAGACACTGAAGCGAGCAGCAGAGCTCTATTTTTTGCTTGGAATGAGGTATGACGTTTCATGTTATGTTCGATCTTGCATCTCATGTCAAACTTTGGAATCCCGTCGTCAAAAGCCCGTGGGTCTGATGTACAGCACTTGAGTGGAGGAACCCATGGAAGAGTTGAGCGTAGACATAATCGGACCGTTTCCGAGATCTAAGCTCCAACACAGATATATTTTAGTGGTCAGCGACAAGTTTCCGAAATTTGTTGAGTTTTCTCATTTTGAGCTCCAACCAGTAAGGCCATCTTGGATAGAATCCTGGAGGTGTTTTGTCAGTATGGTTTTTCCACGAACATTTCTAGCAATAATGGACGTGTCTTCGTTTCCAACCTCTGCAAAGTGGCGATGAGACACCTCGGCATCAATGATCGTCACACGGTTCCATACTGCCCTGCGGGCCGTATGGTGGAGAGGCAGAATCCAACCATAAGGCATACTGCAATGCTGATGGCAAACTGCAATGCTCGTCGACACTGGGATAAACGAATCCCGAAAATTGCGTTTGCAAGACGAACGTGTGAAAGTGTGAACACGGGTTACACATCCGCCCTCTTGTGTAACGAACGCCAGCTTCCCAAGCCTTGGCAGCAAAACCCTGGCCAACTTCCTGCGCCAGGCAGCGGCGCTCCAGGCTTCGTGGCAAAGATGACGTCCAGACTGCAAGAGGCACACGAGTTTCCATTGCAAAATCAAAGACTGACTCAAGAGCAGCAGCGGTGCTATTGCAGAAAATATCGACAGCAGATGAGCTTTCAGATCGGTGATGTGGTGCTCCGCGACCTGCACAACCTGAGTGATGCCAGCAAAGGCGTGGCAGGCTGGCAGCTAAACTGGCCTATATATGCTCTGCTCCTTTCATGGTGGTGGGGAAGGTAGGGGCGAATGACTGTCGTTTGGAAGACCGAAACGCTGGAAAATCAGCAGGGCTGGCCCATGCGCGGATCAGTGTCTGAAATTCTGCGAGGATCAGCCGAATTTTTAAGGGAAGAGGATCATGAGGGACGGGCGCACAGCAGTGGCGGAGGCGCACGGTACATGGCAGGAACGGGAGACAGAAGAATAGAAGACGCGAAGAAGTGTAGGTTTTATGTGTGGAATTTAGAGCCTTCGGAGGGCTAAGAAGTGTACGGTGTCAGGAGTGTAGCCTAAAAAGAGATAAAGACGTTTAAACGTAACATGGCATATGGAACCATTTCTCAAAATACTGAGGAAGACATGACCAGAAAAGACTATCGGGATCAGCGTATTTCATTGCTATTGGCGCTGTGAAGTTTGGCAATCCCTTAGTGGTGCGTATCGCTAGGAATACAAAGTGAGCATACTTGAAGAGTTTCTACTGATGTTAAACAGGGACGACACGTCTGCTATAACAGGTTTCTTTCTTTTATGAAATGAAAAATACGCGCGACTCGAAGGGCACGTGCACTAAGTAAACTGAAGATCGCCGAAAACGTCACCAGCATCCTTCCGCCACGAATAACCATGTTAAAAACACGTTGATAATCTGCCTTCCACTTCAATCGCAAAATAAGACGTCTAAAGTTTGACCACAAATAAATAACAACAAGAAAGTTTTTCTTTTTAACATAACCTCAGACGAGGTAATTCTCCAGGTGTATTTTCGTAATATCCTTTGAGGCCTTGTTAATTGTGAAAGAAAGAATTCTAGTTGTGAACATCCATTGCATTTGCGCTTCTGTGGAAGAAATACTGGCATTTATAACTGCGTGGTTTGTTTATTAGGCTGCTGTCAAATTTACGGTTTTAACAAACTATTAGGGCAGTCCTTTCCTACTGCATCTGGCCCGTTTTAAAATGTGATACTACGTGTGTCGATGCTACTTCATCCGACGGGGAGCGGGAACAGAAAAAAAAACTAAAGTAAAATTAGGAATAAGAAAACCGAACATTAGCATATTTATTTTGTAGTTCTTTTGTACTCTTTTACATGTGAAATCGCGAGCAAGGTTCTGCAGCCCGTAGAAGAGAGCACGAACTCGACATCGACACCTTTAGCATTTTACTCAGAGAGGGTATTGATGAGCATCAGTGCCGTGGTGCTGTACCCCTTAAGTTGGTACCAAGAAGGAGCACTTTAAGTGCTCCTTCTTGGTACCAACTTCTTGGTACCAACTGCTAGTCTTTATAACAATCGTTTACTTCTGAGAGAGAAACCGGAAAGCTTAGCTATTATTTGATTATTTTGTTTCGCGCCTTTTTGAGCGCGCACACTGTGGCAATTGATTCGTGAGCAAGTTGCGGGGGGGGGGGGGGGGGGGGGGGAGTTGGAACGCGGTCTACCGTGAGATGTGGTCCGATTGTTCCGAACATTATATTCCTACAAATTGCGCATGCCCAGTTTTTACGCTTTCTTTTTCCTTCAAACAACATTTTTGTGTATGTTTATGACATGTATTACACAAGTTCTGGATGAAGGCATGGACACAATTTTATGGTGGAAAGTGTCAATTTGCAGTGAAGGTTTGGAAATACAATTTGATTCGAATGAAGAAAACACAAATCAACTTCGTACAATTCCACCTTCTATTCAGCGGTGAATTGCGGTTTCATACATCTGAGTCTCTAATCTAAACGCTTGGCGAAATCGTCGATGAGAAATTCTGCGGCCATGATTGGCTGGCGCCGCGCTTGATTTTGGCGCAGACAGATCAAGTTGGTCGAATTTCTCGCCGACGTTTGTTTACCGAATGTCAAGATTAGAGCGCCTGGTGTGCGCAATATTTTTGAATATCTAAAACAAATGTGGTCGACCTTTAGCCCCTTCCCCTGGCAAATAGCGAGCGCTCGGTGCGCGCTCGCCGAGCGGATTCTTGTTTCCCTCTCGAGATGAGTGCAATCTCTCCGTGTGCCGCTTGTAGATCTGGAGCCAGTGGGGCGCTCGCCGAGCGGCTCCAACCGCTCCGTGGAAAAGTGGCGGAGCGCGGCGAGCGGTTCGGAGGAGTTCTCCGCGCAGCCTTTTTCGGAGGAGTACGATCTGTAGTCGTCTCTCGCAACGTTTCAGTTTCGTTATCGACATTCCCGCGGGGGAGTGGAGTTTCGCATCTTTTTTGTTTCGATTGCTGGGTAAGCTCTCTTGGTGAGCTTGTTTTCGTTCCTCTTGTCATGACCGACTCGCCCGAGCATACTGCGGCGATGACATTGTTGCAGTTAATTTCAGGAGGTCTAATAAAACGCAGTGACAATGACGAAGATACCAGCTTAGCTCCAGCTTGAGTGACGACGAGGACCCGTTCTCGGCGAAGTGTTTGCCGAGTCGTTTGGCTGGCCAGCGAAGAGGCCCAAGATACCGCGTTACGTCGAAGGCGTTGTGCGCGCCTATTCGGATGAAGAGCTAGGTATGTCGTTTGTTTGTTTTGTGGTCCCTGTAACGTAATTGGAATAATTAGAAGACAACACGCCAAATACTCCGCAGATGGAAGTCGCCTTTGGAGATGACGATCGCTTAACGGCATACGTGTTTGGTATTGCTCAATAGCATCCTAAGGCTCGTACAAGTACTTCTAGTTGTCTTCATCGGGCTTATATAACTGTAAGGAAAAATAAATTGTGTCTGAACGCCGGGGTCACCGTTAGTTAAGGAGTAAAGAATCAATTTTTTGTCAAAGCATAAACTTCATGCTTTCAGTAAGATAGCAATGGGAACCGCAACTGTTCAAGAGCGAGAGCAGACGCTCTGGAGGCGGTGGCGCTCGGAGCGTTACGCTCGATTTGCTTCGCAGCGCGTGCCACTGGGATGGATCACGTGACTGATCGCTCACGGAGGCCGACCGCTCGACGACCGCTAGCGCGGAGCGCTCGGCATTTGCCAGGGGAAGGGGCTATTTGTTTCAGCGATAGACAAAACCATTGTAGATCTTGTTGAGCAATAGACCGACTCAACTCTCTGACGTCTCGCCTCTGCGCTGGCGCTGCTGTCTGCACTGCACATGCGCAGATACCTCACCTAGGGCGAATCGGTTTTCTGCACACACGCAATGCCCACACGCACTATGGGCGAACTCGGGCTCGCTTATAAACAGCGTGTTGTTGGATAGAGTACAGAGAATAGGGAGAAATACATGTGGTAAAGAGCTGTTCCAAAACTTCGAATCATTTTTTAAAATTTATTTGTAGAATCGAGCAAGCTGCGTTCACCTCCAATAACACGACGATGCTGCAACTGTTTAGCGATCGTCTAAACAGGCGAAACGAAGTGGCCTGTATGCTTGGCTCAGAGCAGGTTGGCGTACGAGTGGATTGTCTGCTCTTCGAGGGTGATGGTGGCCCCCAGATCCTGCAGGGGGCTCGAGTCCTGCGCCACCTCCGGACCGTGGCTGGCCTGGCGCAGCAGATTCCGCCGCCACTTGGCCCTTGCGTTCTGGAACCACACCTGCGGTAGAAGGACCCGGCGAACGCCACGATTGATCCAAACGCCAAGGCGTCTTTACGACCAGAAATCTATAACTTTGTTTCACATTAAGTTTAACTGGAGCCAGCGCTGCGATCCGACGAAGCCATCCAACGAGCGTTTTTGTTTTCTTTTTGCGGGATTTGTTTGACCGGTTATATAACAAACGCACGAAGACGACGGGGCCATGATCGTGCACTTTCTATGCTGCTTTTCAGACCCTTCCAATAATCGCCTTCTGGCGATGCCCCATCTTTTTCTGCTCTGTAAAAGGCGTTCTGAGCGTGCGCAGTGCATCTCTTCGATGAAATATGAGACGCCGCGCACGCGTCCGCAACCCAGTGATCGCCATTTTCCGCCTGGGTGAGAAACGCTGGAAAGTTCCATATGCTCCGTCGGAAGGATCCGTTGTCTACAGCGTTGACTGCGGTTTGGCGTAACGTGAAACGGAGCGCATGGTTATTCAGTTCGGTTAACCTCTTCGCATTTTCAATAAAGCAATGTTCTGTTCTACGTCAATCTCGCTTGCTAATGGATGCACTCCATTTATCATTTCCGCCATGAATGTCCCCTCCGCGCTCGCGCACAAACAGTTTGCTTATTATGACGAAGTTGGAGTAGCGCGTGATTATCGAACTGCATTCATGTATTCTTCTTTGAATCCTAGCTGTATACAAATGAAATGCCTGGCAATGGCATGGACATCGGACAATTGCCAACGAACACACATCAATTTGCGAGGTCATCACTGTCATAAGTAGGATGTTATCTGGAGAGTGGAAAATAACCTTAACACACATACTATTCATTGTTTTTCACTAAATACAAAAAAAGCATATCCAACAACACATTCCTTGCGATTAAACACACAGCACATCATGGTCTCAGAGCTATCGCGATGACACGACTTTTTAAAGATCACGCAAATATGTACATTTTTAGAGGAAGTTCGTATTCTTTCTTTAAGTAATCAAGGTGACCCTTGGGGAGTTTTACTAGATCATTCCGACACCTAGAATAGCGAACGTGAGAGATCGATGCGATGCATGCACAAAGGCGTCGCCGGAACATCGGGTATCGTTACCGGAATTATCGGAACGTTCAACTAAAACTGTCTACTTACGTCATGGCCATTCACATCGTTTAGAAAAGAAGTTTCGTATCGTCAAAAGGAAAGCGTTCATTTCAACTGAGAACGTCCCTTTCGGTTTCCCGAGAAATAAAAGTTGAACAAGTTGTCATATGCCGAAACGACAAGTAATGAGACACGGAAAACAAAGACACCCTATGCTGAAATATCAAGTAATAAGGCACGGAAAACGAAGTCACAGATTGACAGATGTGCAGAAGAGACATACACACACATCGCGGACGAACGCATCGACCGAGGCCGGAGCGGACGCGAGCAAAATGCCCAAGCCCCACCTTACCTGGAGCACCCTCTTGCTGAGGCCGGTGCGCGCAGAGAGCTGCTTGAGGTCCTTGGAGTCCGGGTTGTGGTTCACCGTGAAGTAGGCCTTCATGGCGCGGAGTTGGCTGTGCTTGAACGAGGTCCGCATGCGCTTGTAGCTGCTCCGCTCTGCAAATCGAGGGAACGAGGGAATGTGCAGTCATGTCTCGTTAATGTGGACACATTGGTTCCCACAAGAAATTGTACATAATGTTGACACGAAAACGCATGTATCTTACAAGCTCGTCCCCGAAATTTATTTTTTTATATAAAAAGCGGGGTATTCATATAACCGGAGCCCGTATTAACGTGACATAAGTCTATATCTCACTTCGCGGAATATAACCCCGGGAAAGATTTTTTCCAGCGTAACTTGAAATGTCAATAGGTTTGCATCTGCACCGACTACGCTGTTACTGGTTAGCGCGCCTTCGCTGGATTTTTGCTGCTCAGTTCAGTGGGTTGGGAACATCAATCTCTGGTGACGTACTTATAATTACATCAATAGTGGCACCTTCCTTTTGCATAATGTATAGTTAAAAAGTTTGAGAAGGTGAACGCAATGTATTGGACACATTCTTCCTCGCAACCTTTCTAAAACTACTGGCATATATTTCGAGATTGTTGACAAAATCGAGGGAAGTATAATCCGTATACACAAATGAATCTGCATGAAAAGAGGAAGAGCTTTCGCGATAAGTAGCAGGCATTTAAATACAGCAGCCTAGGTAGCCAAATCGGAGAGAAAAATCAGCGGCCAAGTTTGCTGTTTGTTCCTGAAATGAATTCAAATTTTACCTCCAGCAATATAAAAAGTAAAATGTCACATTTTCGATGACATTCAGGGAAAGGAAATACAGTACGCAATAAAAATGTTAACTTTCTAAGAGTGTTTGAAAACAGTCAAAACGGAAATACCGCGAGGACCACGAACAAATATCTTAAAAATCACCGGCTGCTGCATGAATTAAAAAGTAAATATAATTTAACTTGCACACATTTTATAAATTTTCACAAAACCTCTTTTCTAGGATATCAATGCAGTTATTTCTAGTTTATCAGAAAATACCGTATAGTATGTTTAAAATGTGAGCTATTTTTAGGTTACCATTGTTTAGTACTTAATTACTATACTAGCCCGTAGTAGCAAGAGATTTGTCCCTACATGCATCAAGTTTTATTATGCTCAAAGAGTGCCGCTGGTCAAAATAAGACCGACCAAGAAAAGGATTTTGAATTTCTTACAAATCAATTACCCCCGTTTTATTTTGTTAAAAAAACAACCTACGCAAAAAGTCAGATTAAAAAAAAGTATCGTATGAAATAACATTTCGTAAGTTTGGTTTATTTACTACGGAACCGAATAGGTTCGAAAGTCAACCATGTAGCCTCATGTTACGAAGTTAACCCTAATCCGCGACATCGCCCATACATAACTCAGTCACGGTTTCATAATAAGCGAACCAACCGTAGAAAGAGTCCCGTGGAGAACACAGCACCGCGAAGCGGCAAATTCGAGTACTTCCCCCCAGAACGTATGTGAAGGCAACGGGTGGCGCCGAAAAGAAAGGCGATATTGCGGCAGGGATGAAGGCGGGTTGGGGGAAGCCGAACGCACACAATGAGGGAGTGAGGGGAAACGGGACCTCACTAACCCTCCGTTTCACCTTGCGATAGACTGCAGCGGTCCACAACGAGCTATCCTGCAGCATATACCCTACGGCGCGAACGCTTACGTATCCCACGTGACTATTCACCGCACGCGTCGGTATACGCATCTCCCGAAGGTCACGTGACCTTCACGCGGTATTGGATTGGTTCCCGCGGATCGTCGTATACGCCGCGGTCCAGCGTAAGGAGAAACGGAGTACAGCAAAATGTACCGACCGTTCCCCCTCCCTATCTCGCTGTTTTTCTTTGTCGTCTACATGTCGGACCCCCGGTTGGCGTGGGGAAAGCGCGGCAAAGTCGTCGTAAGTTGTCTGTTCCGATGAGTCGTGCCTGGTGGCCGCTGACGACGACGCCCCGCTCGTATTGTGCGGGGGCCCCCCCACCGCTGGGAAAAGCGCTCGGAGCACACGTGACTTTGGGGAGTGCCTTTGTTGCGCAAGGCGGCGGCGGATGCTGCGGCACGGACCAGGGCACAAAGCCGAGCACACTTGCGCTTCTGCAAGGATGCGCATGCGCGTGGCACACTCTCCGATATACGTGCCAATCCGGAGTCGGAAGACGGGCGGCCCTGACAAAGAGGGCAAAGAAACGTCAATACAATATTACTAAAAAAAGAAGAGAAACGGTGGACGTAAAGTGCGCTGGAGAGGAAGGCGCAAAGAGAAGGGTCGGCAAGTGGAAAAGCTTTATTTCTTTGAATATGTGTTTGTTTTCATTCGTTGGGATGACTATATATTTGGAGAGTGGAGACTGGCAGGCTTTCGTTTGACAGGTCTTCGGTGAGAGGACGGATATTTTAGCGCAGGGGCGCTCTAATGATGAGGGCGTAATTTTTCGGTAGGTTGAGCGCAGTGTTGTGGGCGTTAGCGTAAAAAAAAAAGTGATGAAACACGTTATTTGTTACTTGAAAATAAAAGGAACGCGTTACCGTCCTACGTTACCTTAAATTAAAAAGAGCGCGTCACCGACCTACGTTACTGTTAAAAAGTAAGGCAATTTAGTTTTATGGTATTTTTTAAAATTATGGATTAACACTTTTGAATCTTATGACGTTACACGTGCCATATTTCAGTAAATATGCATTCATCCAGAAACTGACCATAACTACCTTATATTGTTTACGGTTTCACCTAAGTACTGACAAGAAAAAAGAAGGTACAGAAAAGCAAGAAGACGAAAAAATATTACCGTATCTTGTTCTAAATTTTTGGAAAAGAAAAAGTAACGTGTAACGAAACTACGTTAGTCGTCACTCGAAAAGAGTAACGTAAGTACGTCACCCGTTAATGCTCTGGAAATGTAACGACTACGTTACAACGTTACCGGGAAAAGTAGCACATTCCCGGTAACGCCGCTACTTGTAACGCTTAACCGCCAACACTGGTTGAGCGTGGTTAGGGAGTAATGTTTTTGGAACGGATACTTTTTTTAATCGATATATACATCTGCTTAGAAGAATTAATTTTGTCGTATATAAACAGTGAGACTACAATGATGCAATGACGAACTCCTTATGCAATGTCCGCTCGTGCAGCCATTTGATTCGTCGAAAGAAAAACGCGTTGTTATATGTTAGCTGCGCTTTATCAGGGGCTTCGTGGTTTTTTTTTAGAAACTTAAATCATAGTGTGCTGTTAACCGTCGAGAAGGAGGCATACCAGGAGACAGTCCTGCCCATATATCAGCATGCTCGAAGTCTACTTACTCCTCATATTTTTCCGCTGTTTGACTGCTCTGTGATACCTTTTGTACAAAGTTTGTAAAAACCCTTCGCATACTCCTTTGCCTTGTCGATGGAAATACAAACATAAAAACACGGACAAATGGAGACCCCATTCACGATATATTTCTTCAGATGTTCAGGTGTCTTCCCAAAATGAACTTCGCTCTTCGTTTAAAATGCTGGATATAAATCGCGGAATAAGTAAGCTTCGGAGTAGTAGCTTGAGTTCGATTATTCGAGTCAGAGAAACAAAAATTCCCTTACTACTTGGATTTATTTCGTGTCTCCCCTGGGGATTTTCTTTTTTTTTTTTTTTTGTGAATTTTGCAGGTTGTTGCGAAATTTAAGAAACAAGCTCAGAGTGCTTATGTTTAAGCTCGAAAGGTGTTCCTCCAGTATTTTGAGATTCCTTAGTCTATAACAACACGATGTAGCGGGCGCTTCAACGGACCCTTCAGTGGGTTGAAAGCTTCTCAAATCCTTCAAACTGCTTCTGCAGCACTCGATTCCCCAATACTTTTCCACGCCTTAAGCCATCACGGGTTCTCCCCACAGCACCTTGAAGGCGCGTAAACCTACCACGCCAGCGTCCACGAATGGAGCGCTGAAGTGAAAGAGGGCGTCTGGCATCAAGCTTCGCGAAGCAGTCCGCTCGCGGGATGATGCGGGGCAACCAAGCCGTCAAGAGCCGCTTAAACACCATGGCAACGCCCGGAACTCTATGCAAATACAACTAAACATGATGATATCCATAATCCCCAAAATATTGGCCGGCGCTCTCTTCGCGACAAAAAGAAACAAAATTGCCCTGCTCCAAGTCCCCCGCGCAGCGTGAATGCCGTCGACAAAACGTCCGCAGCTCTCTTTCCAGTTTGACAAAAAACATTTTTTTCTTTTTAAAAAGACACGAGACATATATTAGGTACATGCTGGAACTTCCACCCTTCCTAGGGGGGAGCAAAACGCCTCGATCGGCAGAGGCACGCGGTACAAGCTTCTGCAGCAAGCTGTTCTCCGTGCACCCCTAAGCTGACGGTGCGCTAGAGGGTAGACGAGCTCATTTGGACCAGTCATACGCCTATCTTTGACCACGTAATGATCACGTGATCACGCTTCCGCCCCTTCCACCCGCACAAAGAGGGGTCAGGAGATGAAAGGGAGGCAGTTGACAAGTCCATCGAGAGCGTAGTTCCCACAACACTGTCAGCTTAGGGGTGAACGGAGCACACACGTCAGCTCAGCTTGGTACAACCCGGATTGCTCTCGCTCTGACAAAGGATTCTCGGGTCACCTGATCGGATTATAACAAACGGCGCCGCGAGGGCGTACCAATCGGAACTGGATATCGATTGCCCATTTCTTTTTACTCTCCTTTTATCTCCCTATTCCTTTTCCACCCCCCCCCCCCCCCCCCATCCCTTCAGCCTTCAGCCCCCACCCTTCACAGGACTAAGCAGAAGTGGCGTTATTAGCCCTCTCAGCCGCTGAAGCGGATTAGCCCGTTGGACGGCGAACGCTTGCACTAAGCTAGAGAGAGATTAGCACCCGTGCGACGTCCAGGCACGCGTTCGGGTTTTGTCCGACGGAGCCCTGTCAGGAGGCAAGAGAAATGTTGCGGTTAATCCCGGAGTTGAAACTCGAGACGCGGGGTCGGGCGGCGTTGGCAGTTGTCCGGCGGTGCTGTTCATGAGTGTTGCTGGTGACTGTTGTGTCGTGTACCGCTTCTGGGGCAACTCGGTTTTGGGGGAAGGAGGGGGGTGTTTCGGGGTTCGCTGTTCTCACGAAGATTCGAAGAACGGCACGCGTAGGCAGCACACACCGCGACTCTTTTCATGCTTATATCCCGATCGCTCCCTATCCAAGAAACGCCCGCAGTCGAAATTTTTTAGAATAGAGTGGCTTTTGCTTTTCTGAGCGGAATTACAAAAAGGGTTAAATGCTAGTGAACTGGGGTTTGGTCCGTGGTGTGCTGGGCATCGGCTCTTAGTTGTCTCATGTGCTTGTATCTTCATGCGTTGAGAGTTAATTATCTCGCTAATTAGAGCAGTAGAAAAGAAATTTTGCAATATTAGTTGAGGAAAAGGAAAGCCCTCATAGAACTCGTATGTGGCTGTGAAAAGGTGTGGGTCAGTTCTGCGATGCCCACCGTTCAAAGTCTGCAGGTTGGCAGATTGTGTCTGGTTTGTTTAAAAGTCAGTATTCTGGTGCTCCTATAGCGTTTCTGGGTGTTCTAAAACATCGTTTTTTGACCAATATTCAGCATGACGACTAGAAAAAAAAAGAGCCCAATGAAAAAAATAAAATCAGAAAAAACATGTTCAATTACTAAAGGGATGGGGAAAAGGTGCCTTTTCCTCTCTTTCTCTGCTGCATTTCGCTATGTGCATTGCCATGTTAAGAAACACCGGATGTAGGTGATTTGTTCACCGGGTTCTTGCTTCTCGATTTGTCCTTCGGCAATTTAATCGGCTGATGTCTTATTTTTCATAGCTCCATGGCAATAATAAGGTGCTTAGGTCTCGTCCCGTCCCTCGATTCTTTAGCGTTCGGCGACTATGCGGCTCGCAAGTTCGTCTGCTTCTTTTTGCAGGGCTTGTGATGACGTCAGAACGACGGCGAGCTCTGATTGGCTTTGATTGAAAAATAGAGGGTAGACCTCAATGCAGCTTGCCTTGAGGTCAGCCCACTATCCTTTCAATCAAAGCCAATCGGAGCTCGTCGCCGTTCCGACGTCACCACAAGTTCTGCACAGAGAAGAAGACGAAATTGCGCTCCGCATAGTGTTTTCAGTAGTCACTGAGAGCTTTGGAGACGCAGGGCGTGGTGAGTTCCGAGCATCTCATTATCGCTCCTCAGCCAATGATTTCGTGGCATTGGCTTACAAGAGCGTTGAAGAACGAATCACAAAGCAGAGGGAGTGAACACAAGAGGCCCTTTATAATTGCGGCGCGGTATACTTTCAAGATGATTGAAGAGACGGAGTGAGATTCTCCGTGAGCCTGCTCGCTCACGCTGGTCAGTGCGCTTACATTTATTTATTTGGTTGCAAGTGCGGAACGGTCAGGACAGAAGCGTATCACAGGAGACGGAAATGTTGACGTACGTTAGGAAAATCAGCATGTTGTTTATTGAGAAGTTGCGGAAACATCACTGAACTCGTGAGGCTTTGTGGAAAGCGAGCGTGTTTTGGGCACCGGTCACATCATTGTGTGTGGCCAAATATATTTGTAGGTGGCGAAAATATCATAGTGTTTTCGCTTTGCCTGGCCAAAAGTGTGAGCCGCGCATGGTGACCGAGCTCCAGTAGAGCAGCGAGCACAGTATTGATGTCTCTGTCAGAAACTCACAGCTCATCCGCACCGCCGTGGTTGTAGTGCATTGCAACACGTTATCAACCTGTGCCATGGTTACCAATAGACACGTTTAGCATAGTGTAGCCGCACGGTGAGATATATAGCTACTGGAAGTTCGCGCTGCACTTTTGAAGCATGATTTTTAGCGCGCGCCAGGAGCTTTGTCGTAACCACGTTAGCCTGTGGTGACGCTATGCAAGAACTGCATAATAACGTCATTGGTGTGTTTGGGGTTTCTAGTTGTTACTCTCTCAAGATAAATATTCAAATATACAGTACACTACACCTGTGTACCGTGTGATTCGGAACGTCGAGACCCGCTTCACAAAAGCTGCCCGTTCTAAGCACACCTCACGATCGGCACACATACGCACTTAAAACGCTGCAAGCATTTTTTTTTGCCTTTCTAATTAACTGAACGCAGGAACGCGTAGTTTGTCTTTTGGGAGTGCTTGAAAAAAAACTGTCATGTTCTTACGCCTCCCAGCGTGTTTAATGCGAACCAATTCCTGATATCTCTCGCTGTATACACCGTTACGCAGTTCTCTACTACTTTCCGGAAAAAGTACACTTTTTGTAGATTGTACGCAAGAGCTTTGCACTACTAGAAAGAGCTTTTGCCTTCACGTTGAGTACATTTTGTGCTGGCGCCCGCAGGACTTGAAATCCGCAGCGTTTGCGATCTACGAAAAGGTCCTAATGATATGAGACATCCCGGTCCCCTTGTGCAACACTGTTGCGAAGGGGACCAAAGCAATTCCTATTTCAACGCACTCGTTTTTCCCGTGACATCTGCATGATGCACGAACACGCCGACCAGAACAGGAGCACCAAGGCCGACAGTCCCTGCCACCGTCTCCGCAGTCGTCCCCACTCCTCTGGTTTTTGGTTCGTCTGCGCGAGGGCGAGCGGTGGGCTGGAATTGTGAATAGCGGCCTTTCCTAGATCGGCACAGATGTGTCTACCACGGCTTAAAGACGTTTCGCGTACACTATTGGCTCTCATTTTCACCCTAATTTAATTTTACAACGCCTAAACAAACACACTGCTTGAAGTCGCCTTTACGCACGCGCACTCCTGTCTTGCGGCTAAGCAGTGCTTATTCACAAACGAGCGGCCAAAAAAATTTGTTTTTTCATGTTCAGCCCATGCCACCGGACGGGGGCATGAGCTGGACATGTGCTTCTCAGTATTTAGACCCTTTCAGCACAGCCGTGGGAGTCGACCTTGATTTCTTAGAGTGATTGTACGGTACCGTAAAGCACTTAGCCATCACAACTAGAGCCCGTCATGTTTTTTCTGCCTTTCCGCTTCCGTAAACACAAAAACAGGAGGAAGTAACTTACAAAATCGACACAAGAGGTGGGGACCCATGACTGCCAGAGCTTATATAGGTTAGAGTAAAACGTTGACTTCTGAAATATTAGTAAAAACAAAGTTGCTCTCGCAAGTTTCCGATGTTTAGCATTTAATTGTGGCCATCAGGTCAGTGATTGGTTATGTAAAAAAAGAGAAGTATCCAGTCAATTTAGTGGCTTATATTAGGAGATAGAGATACAAAACAAATATGATTGTAAACCAGTATTTTCTTTTTGGCTTCAATGCATTTTACAGATCTTCAATATTGTCAATGAAGAATACGTAATCTCTGATTTAGAGGTTGGTGCCTTAACTTCACTCCAAAAACAACCCGCGTGTCTGCTTTCACACACACACAAAAAAATTCGTTGAGAGTATAAGTTACAAGGACGTTTGATCGGCCTATAAATCATATAGGATGAAATTTTGGATTAACAAAAAAAAAAAAAGACAACTCTTCTGATGCGCTCAGAGTATTGTTTGAAATTGTTAAACGTCCGACTACCATCTCACGTAATAAAAATATAAATGCCCGCCTTAGGGGAGGGGTAGATGACAGTGCACAAAATGGAGTACGTAGATGAAGAGGTTCGGTGCACGTGAGATTGAACGCAATAACACGAGTTACGTGGCAGAAAAGAAAAATCGGGGATCCATTAATCCACTCTGTGCAGGAGGTTGGCCAATGAAGGTGGGGTATCACCTGCAACAATTGCCAGCTACACTATAAACCCTTTTTATGGCAAAAGCCACCAGGCGATGCTCCAGTCTTTGACGTCCCAGAGAACTTCCGGTTTATAACCATAGCGAACAAAGCCCGACCTAAGACCGCTGCTTGGAACGTCGATGAAACGTTTAACCACCAATTCTCGAGGTGAACGCCAAAAACCGAAGAAGCACGAGATCTGTTAAAAACTCTCGAATATTCTTGTAAACCAACCTGCCTCATCGAAGACGTTAAATTTTCCAGCCAAGGGCACTTGTTATATCTTCAACTTTGACGTATGTGCAGCATTTATAGCACTGGTGACATAAGGTAGCTCAACAGGCTTGCAAAGGCGGTGCGACCGAAAGTCGTTTGGGACGCCGGAGACAGTTCATGTTTCTAAACAGCGAAGGGTCTATACCAAATGATTAACCAAAGAAAAGTAAATGAACTGCACCAAAACTTTTTATATATGAAAGGCTAGTGACGTCACCCCCGAAGTCGCAAGCTGCCATTGTAGCGGCAGCTTCCGGAACAACCGGGAAACGTATGCGCTGAGCGCCACGTGCTTCGCACTGTTATCAGGATTGCCTTCTCATAAATTATCTGCTTCGGATGCTCCTTTTCTGCTCCTTCTTTATTGGAACGAATCCTGCGCTGCATGTCGTATGCCTCATGTATGCACTTTTTCGTTTCAATCGCAGAAGGTTATAGAGCGCTGCTCTTAGGCGCCCGTTTCCAGCTTAAGCGGCGTCGGCGTCGCCGTCGGCGTAACCGCCCATTGCGACGTCACGATGTTCACGATGTTCAGTTGCGACGTCACGATGCTCACGAGTGACGTCACTCGTGACGTCACCGCTCGTTGCATTGGGGGTGAAATTCCCCGCAAAATTTAGCGGTAAACTTTCCCCGCTAAATTTAGCGGAAAAATTTCGCCACTAAACCTAGCGGAAAAACTTCCCTCTAAATTCAGTGGAAAAATTTCCTCACTAAATTAAGGGGAGACAATGCTCCGCTAAATTTAGCGGCGAAATTTCTCGTTGAGTTTAGTGGGATGTTTCCGGTTATATTTAGCGGGGAATTTTTTCCGCTAAATTTAGAGAGAAATTTTGCGAAAACTTTCCGCTAAACGGGAGGGTAGCAGGAGAGGAGGAGGGAAGGGTACGGATGAGGAGGAGGGATATAGTTTCTTCTTCGGACCTTCCCCTCCTCCTCCTCACGAACTGCGCTCTAATTCGGCGTTACAGGGGATTGTAAACGTCTTCTTTTTTTGCCCGTAAGGACGGCGACACGAAAAAATTCAAGAAATTCGACCGGCGAGTTCTATATACAGCCTGTCTGTAAAAGATTAGGAAGACCTCATTCCGTTATGCTTTAAGTGCGACCGCAGCCGATGGTACCATCTGATGGTGTCAATCAAGCAGCGCATATAGTGCACTGTCATAGGTCTCATCGCCTTTGTGCGTTTGGTATTATGAGCTGAACAAATCACGCGCGGTGAATGCGCCACCATCTTGTGCTTTTTGTTGTGAGTGATTGGTTTAGCCCGTGATAGCGAATCCATAAAGAGAATTGATGCAGCTTTTTTTTATTCGACAGAACGCGATGAATAGTGGTAGCTTTACAGGAACATCGTTCGTGAAAACAGTCAGGAAAGGAAGTGGTTGTATAATGGCGACACACATCTAGGACGACGTCGAGGACGGCGTCCTAAAGGTCGACGTCAAGACGACGTAAAGGACGACCTCAAGGACTGCGTCTTGGACGGCTTTGAGGACGACAACATAGAAGACGACAACATAGAAGACGACGTCCAAACGAAATCTATGACGACCTCTAGGACGACTTCGAGGAGGCTGGCTGTGAAGCACGTCGGGTCACGTCAGCTTCAGAAACTGGCGCTTACCAGTGTACGCGAGCGGCGCTTACGCGAACGGAGTCAACGCAACCGGCTCTTTCGCGACCAGCGCTTACGAGCTTATGCGACCGGAGCTTGCGCTTCAATAGAGCCGCGGGCGTTGCGTGGCCTTGATAACGCGACCATGAATGTGGTTAGCCTCCATCTCTCCCTCTCTTTCTCGCATGCGCGCGAACGCAGTTTACGCATCCGGCGCTTTCGCAGGAAGCGCTTGCAAGCTTACGCGACCGGAGCTTACGCTTCGGCCACCATCACTTCAGCCACGGGCGTTACGTGGCCTTAATAACACATCCTTGAGCTTTAGCCACGAGCCCTTCAGTTGCGGGAGTTGCGTGACTCGGTGGCTCCATTCGTGTTTCGGCTGCCGAGCAGTGCGGACGCACGGATGGCGGTTCCGATCGAGCGACGATAACGGTCGTTGCCGGCCGTGGTGACCGGGCTTTTTGTATCCCCGCTGATTACCGGATTCTACTGCCGACGTTGCCGGTGGGCGATAAAACGAAGAACCAGGTTTATTTTCACTGCGACGTAAATGCCAGGCCGCTCCGAATTGGAGACTTCAAGGAACCGTTGGAAAAGGTCGACATGCTCAAATAAGTTGCAGGGCTCGGCGTATGCCAGATGGGACACGTGTGGCTGTGCAGCCTGAAGAGTGCGGCGCGAAAGAGCGGCTTCTCAAACTGGGCTGGCTTACCGTCAAAGGTAAACTGTGCATCCCCATGGACCCCAACAGGCAGGAAGTGCTGGTCAAGCTGCATTGGGTACCTTTCGACGTCCCCAACGACGTTCTCTGAAGAGCCTTGGAATAGTACGGGACTGTCAACGAGGTGAGCAAGGAAAAGTGGCGTGTGGATGGCTTTGAGGGTATCGAGTCCACCACAAGGATTGCCAAAGTCACGCTGAAGGAGGGAATGACGCCGGACAAGTTGCCTCACCAGTTGAAGCTTAAGGGGGGCACGAGCCTTGTTGTCGTCCCCGGACGAGCGCCGGTTTGTCTGCGGTGCAGCAGGGCAGGACACATACGACGTGACTGCCGTGTGCCTCGGTGCGGCGAGTGCCGAGGCTTCGGCCACGTGTCCCAGGAGTGCGTGCGCTCGTATGCTAGCGCAATAGTTAATCGAGCCACCAATGATGATGACTAAATCATCATGGACGAAACAGAAACGAAGGAGGCGGCGACGCTGCCTTCGAACCTACCGGAGACAAAGGAGCAAGCCACGACAGGTGATGCAACTAACGGTACCAACGCAGCAGAGGTGACGGCCAAGGCCTCGACGCCCGACGCTGAGGAACCTGGAAAGGAGACGCAGGCGACGACGGCGGGAGGCACCGACGCCGTGGACAAGGGTGACGTGAACGAGCCACTAGTGGAACTGGACTTCGCGAATGTGAAGCGGCGACTGGATGATGAGACCAGGGACAACTAGGCACAGGAGCTACATCGCCCACAAGGCCAGTGGAAACAAATCGGGAAGAAAGGTCGTTACGCCACCAAGCTGCGGTCCTTGTCGCTGACGCGCGATGGGGAACTGTCGCAGAGACCCCCTGCGCCATGAGCCGAGCTCTGCAGGAGCCAAGCGACAGGTAAGCACCAGGAGGTTGGTCTGTCGACACTAAAAACAACAACAACAAAAAAATGGTAGGGCTCACGTCCGGGCTCCGTATTGGAACTCTGAACGTTAGGGGCTTAGCGGCACGTCGCCGCCAGTGTCAACTTAGTCGCCTACTCACGGAGAACGACCTGGACGTACTTGCTATCCAAGAAACAAAAGCTGAGAGTACGAGTCAGACCGACCTCATGGTGCGACCGTTTATGTCGAGGTACAACGTATGTGTGAGCCACTCTGTCGGTAGGTCAGGCGGCTGTTGCCTGTTTTTGAAGAAAGCAGCAGGAATCATAGACAAAAATGT